GGGGAGAGAAGGCGAGGAGGGGAGGGAGGGAGGCAGCGAGGGGAGAGAAGGCGAGGAGGAGAGGGCAGGAGGCAGCACACCCTCCCCAAAGGCTCTTGTTCCTTCTTAGAGCCCCCACTGGAGTGACACCTACAGCAAAGGGCCCCTGTTTTCCCCATCCCTTGCTTCTCTGTTACTTATCTTCCTGTTCTGACTCTTGGATTAAAAAAAGAAGGCTTGGCCCTAAGCTTTCCAAAAGAATTTCCTTTCCTGTACACTCTCCCCTCCAAACCTCCTAAGGCCTGCCCGCCCCACTTCTATGACCTGGCTTTGAGAAATTCACTGACTCACTACAAAATGAGAAAATTCATCTTGCAACTTCTGGCAAGTTAAAATATTATGCATTTCCACTGACACAAACCACAGACACTGCCCCCAAATGGGAATGATTCTGTCCACCAGCTGCTTCTGGAGCTGGGGAAACCAACAGCAGGAACGAGGCAACTTCGGCCTACGCTCACTCGTGGCTTCTGATGGATGCCGGCTCTTGGCTCCTCGCTGAGATCAAGAGCTGCCCTCTCCCAGCGGCTGATGTCAACACTGACAGGGTGTAAGTTCCATCACGTTAGACCGCCAGCAAAGTCTTACCGATTTTACAAAAGTGCAACCTATTCATAACGCTTTACCAGGAGTTTGGTGTCCTTGATGACGCAGAGTAACTTGGTCCACTGGCCAAAGCGCTTCTTTCGCAGCAGGAAGGCACAGATTTTGGCGTCCTTTACTAGGTCCATCGAGGCCTCCTCAGACGGCCACTGGTGCCGAGTTTTCTTCCCTTTTCCATCTTCCTCCTCTTCATCATAAGATTCATAAGAGCTACTCATGGCATCCGAATCATAATCTGTCAAAAATAAACAGACCAAGGTAAAGTTTGCCTAATGGGCTCAAGGGCACATCATTGTATTTTTAATAAATGAGTAATTCAATGAGAAAGGGAGTTAAGCTCTTCAAGAAAAAAAAATAACCTTAACATGCTGGCAATAGAAACTCAATGAAAAATTCTAAACTAAAATGACTAAAAATTCTGTGCCTATGAAAACCAATTTCTGGACTATTCAATACGGATCAGACGCTCTGCTGCTGGCATGTGACCACCTTCCTGCTGCACCAGTCCCACCCTCAGTGCGCGGCGCCTTCTGCCACTGGAGCTCTGTCCCACTAAGGTTCTTTGCCCTGCCATGTCCACATCCAAGTCCTTTTGAGTCTGCAGGATGCTCCTCCTAACATTTAAGATGTGACAAAAGGGCACCTCTCTCCTCTGTCTCATCCTTGCAACTCTCACAGCCATTTACACCTCTCTTCCTGACGGTTTTTGCCCCATTCTGCAGCATACTCCCACTTAAACTGGGGTTTGTTTTAGTTTCCCAAATACATCACAGTCTTTCTTATCTCAGGGTCCTTACCCGGGCCGTTCATCCACTCACCCTCTTGCCTTTGCCTGATAAATGCTCTTAGCTTATAGGAATTAACCTACCGACACTTCCTCTGGCAAATCCTCCCTGAGTCACCAAACCTGGATGCTGCAGACTGAACTGTGCCCTCCCCCACTAAATTCATGTGCTGAAACTCTAACTCAGTGTAACTGCATTTGAAGATAGGGCTTTTAGAGGTAAGTAAAGTTAAATGAGGTCATAAAGGGTAAAGTCTTAATCCCATAGGACTGGTAGCCTTCTAAGAAAAGGAAGAGAGAGCGAGAGCTGGATCTTTCTCTCTCTCCTCCACATAAGGAGTCAGGAGGAGGACTCACACCAGAATCCAGCTATGCAGGTGCCCTGACCTCAGATTCTCAGCCTTCAGAACTGGGAGAAAATGAATGTCGTTGTTTAAGTCAGCTGCCCGTTTGTGGTACCTGGCAGCAGCCTCAGCAGACTGACAAAAATGCCCTTCCTGCGTGTCTCCACCTGCCCAACACAAAACTGATCACACTGCACTCTCAGGCTGTGAGCCCACTGAGGAAGAGGACCGGGTTGTTGGATGTGATTTCCCCAGAAGCTAACAAAATTCCTGGCACATGGCAAGCACACAATCGGTTGTAGAAGAAAGAACTGTCATAATGAATTTATGTACCTGTAAAGCCCTTAGACGAATGGCTGGCACATTGGACATACCTCATAAATGCCAGGGACTGTCATGAATGTTATTATTGCTTCTAGCCATAGTGGAAGACAAGCTCCTCCAGACAGTGCCTGATTCATCTTTGAATTCCTCTCAAGCCCCAGAATCATCTGGAACATATTCACTTTTTGAAACACACTTGAGGAACGAACGCCTAGAGATGAGTGGATGGCAGATAAAAGAAGGATGGCTGAGGGAGGCCCTTGCACAGTCTGGCAGCAGCCCAGAAGCCGCAGGCATCCTGCAGGAGAGAGCTCACATTTTCCTTCCTGGAAACTGGAGTTGAGAGTGTACTCAGTAATCATGTTTGCATTACAATTTCCTTACAAAGATTCAATACTAAGGGAGGGAAGACAGAGATCTAAAGCTTAAGTTGAATCTTCAATAAAGAAAAAGTCCAGACATGATTTTAAGCAAGGACTGAGGAGACGGAAGAGGCCCTTGGCAACAACACTGAGAGGGAGCTGGGATGGGAAGCTGTGGGGAGGTGAGGGCGGAGAAGAGGCGTCTGCAGCAACGTCAGGAAGAGGTGCTGACGCCTGGACTCAGAGGGGACCCCAAGGGACACCAGGAGGGGCTGACTCAGGAGATGCACAGGGAACAGACCCGTGGGCCTTGGTCACAGACCCCACGGACAGTGAATGAGGGAGAACGGCCTGGAGTCTCCTCTGTGCTGCCTCCCACAAACCTCCCACTGGGCAGGCCTGTTCTCTGCCATGTTGTCCCCCCAATATCCATCCACCCCCACACCAGTGCACCACCTAGCCAATACCCCCATTACACAGGGCATCCATAGGTGGCTGTTTAAATTTTAATTTTCATTAAAGTCAAAGAAAATTAAGCACCTAATCCCTCAGTGGCACTCACATTTCCAGTGGTTCCCTGGGGAGTGCAGGTAAAGGGGAGTCCCATTGCTGCTGGAGTTCTCCTGGACGGAGGGAGGGGACTGAGAGACCCTCATCTAGGGCAACACACCTTACTGCAGAGACAGGGATGAGGACGACATAGGAAGGACACGGAGAAGACGAAGAGAAGAGGTCACCTGGAGCTAGGCAAGCAGTTACCTGTAAGGGGGAGTGAGGGCTGTGCTGAGGAAGGGGCAGGGCTTCTGCTGACAATGTCCCACTCCTGACCCAGGCACTGGTGATACCAATGTCTTGTTTTATAAGTCATTGAGCATATATTCATATCTTAAGCACTTATTACTTAATATATTATGTTCTACAATAAAAGGGTTTCTAAAAAGTTTATCATGGCTAAAACAGAGGGTGAATGGGGGCGAGTGATGGAACATAGAAGAGAGAAGACGGGTGGAGGCCAGACCACGCTCGTTACGTGCTGTGCTGGGATCCGAGGTCCACTGAGGGAAAATGGACACAATCCTATTTTTATTTCAGAAGGGTGATTCTCACAGTGGCTCAGAAGACCATAGGGCTCAGCTCATTCTCTGAAGATCAAGTTTAGGAAATACTTAATGAACAAATGAAGAAAAGATCTAAGGAATAAATTAATTATAAATGGGAGCACTACCTTTGATTTTACTTATCCTACAAATAAGTAATGAGCACTCATTATATGCTAGGCAGCATTTTTTTCCCACACAGATGTATATGCAGGTGCTCAGCTGAGCTGAGAAGACAGAGGCCTGCCTGAAATATATCAAGTGCTCTCACGCCCACTGTCTCACAGGTTCTCCCAGACACCAGGAATGGCAGCGCAGGTCACGACTCTTATTCAGAGAAAAGGAAGAACAATGCTCAAAGACTAAGTAATTCATCTAAGACCACAACCCCAATAGATGACAGCACTGAAGTGTGCGTCCAGGTCATATGGGTTTAAACTAAAAACGTGAACTATGTCTCTAATAGCCCTTTTGATTCATGGGAATGGGCTAAGGTCTGCAACTATGAAAAAGACAGTAAGCTTGCTGTCTTGCCTTCTTCTGAGAGCAGAACTGACAGATTCATTTTTAGAAAAACTTAGGCCTACTTAGCAGGAAACAAAGAACATCTAGGAGTAACTGTCGGCACTGACAAGATACTACCGTGTTTCCCGGAAAATGAGACCTACCCAAAAAATAAGCCCAAGCAGGATTTCTATGCATTTGTTAAAAATAAGCCCTACCCCATAATAATACCCAGTGATGGGTGTGGCTATGCAACGTATCTGCATAGCCACGCCCTACATTTCGGTGCAGAGTGGTAAAGAAGACTGGAATACCTTTTATCTGCCACAGCTCCTTTCTCTGAGCTGTTTGCACTTGTGCAGGTATGCACATGGTAACCGCGGTCATAGGCATCCTATCGCACACCTGCGAACAGCTAGGGGAAAGGAGTTCACGCATCACTAGCACCAGCCCCACCAAGAAGGTTGTCAGCTCCCCCTGTCAAGTTCCAGAAGAAGAAGATGACTTAACTGTATTTGAATAAATGTAGATTGTTGTATCATACTTAATAAAAATAAGACATCCCCTGAAAATAAGCCCTAAAGTGTTTTCTTGAGAAAAAATAAATATAAGACAGTGTCTTATTTTCAGGGAAACACAGTAGACACTCTGAGAAGCATCCCTGGCTGCTGTCCAACAGAGAGAACCGAGTCTCTCTACTAAATTTGCTCAGCACTGGGCGCAGCCCCCATAAGACAAACTGCCCCAAGTCCTAGGCCATGGCTCCTCCTAAGAAAGACCCACAATGGTGGAGGAGGCAACGAACTCTGATGCCTTCCAATCCTGTAGAAAGTGGCATAGGTATGCAGAGAGAGATGAGTAGGAGGGTTTCAACTCGAGGGCAGTCAGAGAGGAAGGGTTAGACTCCACCAGGGCCTGGCATGCAGATGAGGAGGGAGCCCACTGCCAACAGCAGCACTGTGAGGACCTTGTGTGGGAAGGATGATGCTGACTAGGAAATGCCCTTTATCTTAGCCACGGCTCTTCAGAGAGATGGAACGAATAGATGGACAGACAGACAGACAAGGGATTTATCAGGGGAATGGACAAGGGGAACTGTGGAGGCAGAGAAGTCTCACAACAGGCTCTGTGTCTGGAGGTTCAATCCAAGTCCATAACCTCAGAACCAGGAAGCTGAGGATACAATTCTCAATCTGAGAAACCCAGGGGAGGGAGGCCATGAGGGGGGACAGTGAGGGGAAGGGTGTGGTATAAGTCCTGGAGTCCCAAGGCTAGAGAGCCTGAAGCTCTGATGGTCACGTGTAGACAAGTGAGAGGCGGCCTGTCACGCTGCCTTTCCTCTGCTTATGTTCTACCCAGGCTGGCTGACGGCTGGCACCACCCACACTGAGGACAGCTCCTCCTTTCTGGTCCACTCAGACTCACGTATTAATCTCCTCCAGCAACACCCTCGCACACATGCCCCAAATAATGTTTTACTCCTCTCTGGGTATTCCTCAATGTAATCAAGTCAACATCCCAAATTAACCATCACACTCTCCTTCACCAGAAACTAGTTTCGAGGGCACAAAATGTTATCATAGTACAGTTCTGATAGAATTAAAGAAAAGGCCAATAAACTAATACTTTTAACTGTAAAATGTTCATTCCAGGGGGTGAAAAAAAAGAAACTGCATGAAAGCAACAGCAATACTGCATGCGTTGTGAATCTGGGCTAGGAGCCAGAAACCTGCCTTGATAAGGTAGTTGTGCTATCACGGCCTCCCAGAGGACCACGCTTTCTCTCCACTCAAATTACATAAGAGCTTATCTTTCAGAGC